CTGGCCTCATCCCAGCTACCGTAGTAGGGTCAGTGAGTATAATGGATCACTGACTGGCCCAGGAATCCAGGCTTATGCTAATTTGATCATGGCACTATTCTACCCACAGAGACTGGTTGGGAAAAGACAATGTAATCCAATGCCAGCCAATGAGACATGAGGGGATGCTTTTCAAAACCTTTTGAGAAAGAAGTTTCTTTATTCATAAGAAAGAACCACTCGAAAGGATAATTTCTCTTCTTCTGTTGTGCATAGAAGTGAGGGCTGGAACTGCTGCCATCTTGTCTCCAAACTAAGGACAAAGCCATCAAAAAGAGGAGAGCAAAGCCAAGAGAACCACGGCGACATGCAGCAGGAATCCTGGTCACTTCGTGTCAATGCCCTGGCCTTACCTCTGGACTTGTTTCAGTTACATGAGCTAATAGCTCCCCTTTATTGGTTAAACCAGTTGGAATTGGATTTTCTGCTATCTGCAGCTGCAAGTATTATATCTGACACAGGGCTTGAAGTTGTTAGATGACAAATCTAATAACAGTTTACAAAGTAGATATTAACTTTTAAAGAAAATAATCACTAACATATTTTTGTTTTGCTTTCCTAGTAAGTGAAGGAATGAAAGACTCATTATCTCATAGTAGAACGAGAAATACCCTTAGACATTGTCTGTTCAATTGAGTCACTTGACAGATAAGGAAACCAAGACCCTTGAGCAGAAATGCGACTGAGATGTCACAAACCCCAGGCACATGTACTCATTACTGTGCTATTCCATCTCCACCTGCACTTCATAGCAGTGCAGTTATTCACATGCCTGAATCACACAGACCACCTGGATAGTCATACTTTAAATATGAACTTAGAACAACCACCTTGGAAATCTGTTCATCAGTTTCTTTACGAATTTGACATGTGACTACCTTATGTCCCAGCAATTCCACCCCTAGGTATTTACCCTACAGGGATGAAATCATATGTCCACACAATGACGTATACAGGAAGGTTTATAGCAAGATTGTTCATGATAGCTAAATGCTGGATACATCTCAGATGTCTGACAATAGCTGAATGAATAAACAACCAATTGTGATATACAATGAAATGCTACTCAGAAAGAAAAAAAAGGAGGAATGAACTACTACCCATACACGCGACAACATGCATGAATCTTCACAACATACTGAATTACGGAGACCAGACTCCAAAGAGGACACACTGTATGATTCCACTTCTGTAGAGTTCTGCAATAGCAAATGTAACCTGTGGTGACAGAATTCAGATCAGTGGTTGCTTTATGTTGTGTGTATACAAAGCGGAGTTGACTGGGAAGAGGCGTGAGGGAAACTGCTGGAGTGAGAGCCATGTTCTGTGTCTTGATGAGGGTATGGGGAAGATGAGTGTATTCACGTGCTAAATCTGAACAAGCACTTCAGATCTAAGTATTTCACTGCATGTAAATTATATCTTGAAAAAAAAAATTTTAACGTGAATTTCTAGCCATGAGCAGGAAGGTACAATATCAACCAGGACAGTTAGGCTGCTGGGAGTTTGCAGTGGTGTGTCCTGGACCCAGGGCTTGGGAGAACCGCTGTCTCTTCCTGCTTGTGCTGATGGCTGGGGTCAGCCAGCTTCCTGTGTTCTCTGCCAGTGCCCAGCTGTCAGGATGGGCCCAACCGCAGCTGCCGTAATAGCAGGTTGGAAGAGACTTTCCCTCTCGGCTCTGCAGCCACATCACAGAAACCAGCCGTACTCTCTGGCCTGCTTCCCTCCACCACTGACGGCCTTAGGGAGCTCACCAAAGAACTTTCCCTTTCCTCACCCTCAGATACCCTTCAGGAAACTTCCAGGGCCCAGGCTGCCCTTTCCACGACCTGAGCTTTACGGGTGATAAACTCTGGCTTTCTGACATTCCAGGACTGCTTAACTGGGTCATTGCAGCAATTCTTGCTATAACTTTTATTTTTTGAATTGCCATTTGTGTTTTCTTCATATTTCCTGCCAAACTGTCAAACCAGGCTCTCTCCAGTTGCCAACATCTGGTATTAAATTTCAAGTCTGGATGATCTTCCAAAACAATGCTTTTTAAGTGCCAGGGAACGTCTTTTACTCACATTATTCATCTGTTCAAATTGTATCAGATTCTCTCATTGATTTCCGAACTGAAATGTACTTTTCAACATATCAAGACTATTCGATTTAAGCCAGGCCTCACGCCGGCATTGGGCCGTAAGTTGCCTGGAGAATATATGATCTATTGTTTTGTTGTTCTCTTTTACTTTTCTATTTTTAAAAATCAATAAATCACAAGTAAACCTTTTAATAAGCATTGAATGAACAAATAAATTCACCTTTCCCCTTACTGTGATGCTTATGCTTTTTTTTTTGTTTGTTAGTTTTTTGAGACAGAGTCTTCCCCTGTCGCCCAGGCTGGAGTGCAGGGGCACGATCTCAGCTCACTGCAACCTCCACCTCCCGAGTTCAAGCGATTCTTCTGCCTCAGCCTCCTGAGTAGCTGGGATTATAGGCGCACACCACCACACCTGGCTAATTTTCATATTTTTAGGAGAGACAGGGTTTCACCATATTGGTCAGGCTGATCTCGAATTCCTGACTTCGTGATCCACCTGCCTCAGCCTCCCAAAGTGCTGGGATTACAGGTGTGAGCCACTGCGCCCGGATGATGCTTGTGTTTTTAAAGTAAATGAAATCTCTAAGATGCCAGACATATGGCACCCAGATAAAATGGTTTCAGGATGTTTCAGCCCCATGTAGTCGGTGTTCCCCGGCTGCAGCTTCAAAATGTGTGCCTGGGATGGGGAGGTCCCACAGCCCCAAATGGCTTCCTCCTGCTTCTGTTGCCATTGTAGCAACCTCCATCTCTTTTCTGGAGAGTCAGGAAGTGGTGATGCCCAGGGACACAGCTTGCCTGGATTGTGAGGGAAAGAACCTGGCTGAGGACAGGAGACTTATTTCTGGTCCTATTTTTGCCATCACTCACTCAGAGTGACTCAGGTCAGTTCCCTCCTCTTGGGGCTGCTGCCAACTTGGGCCTTGGAACGAACTAGTTGGTTTCACCCTCAATGCCTTTTGTGGGTCAGCTGGGGGAAGCTGGAGTACCGGTAGGATAAGCGTGAAGAAATGTCTCCAGGGCTGGGACTCCAGGCTACCTGCTACTTCTTCTTTTTTTTTTTTGAGACGGAGTCTCGCCCTGTTGCCCAGGCAGGAGTGCAGTGGTGCGATCTGGGCTCACTGCAAGCTCCGCCTCCTGGGTTCATGCCATTCTCCTGCCTCAGCCTCCCAGTGGCTGGGATTACAGGCGCTTGCCACCACGCCTGGCTAATTTTTTGTATTTTTAGTAGAGACAGGGTTTCACCGTGTTAGCCAGGATAGTCTCGATCTCCTGACCTCGTGATCAGCCCACCTCGGCCTCCCAAAGTGCTGGAATTACAGGCGTGAGCCACCACGCCCGGCCGCTACCTCCTACTTCTACTTCGAGCAGAGCCATTGCCCTATGATCTGCTTTAAATCTTGGGCTTCAGATTCGTGAACCTGGCCAAAACCACGAAGACAACCACCACCAGCACCGTCACCTGCCTGGTGGTGTCTAGTATCATGTCTAGTATTAGTTGACCCCTAAAGGCCCCTCTAGGCTGATATGGGAGGATTGGTTGCTCCTTCTTAGAGCTGAGCCATGGTGGACAACGTTTCTGACCATCAGCACCCCACAGCACCCCACAGAAGGGGCTCCAGTCACCAGCTGGGGAGACCAGACCAGTGGCACGGCAGAATTGTGCTCTGTGCTAATTTGTCACGTGCACTTTTTGTTAAGAGCTCACCTCTCTCTTCCCCTCCCTCCCTACCTCAATCCCTCCTCTCTCTTTCCTTCCTCTCTTTCCCTTCTTTCTTCCTGAGAAATCGCTGGAGTCTTGCCTGCATGCTGCAGACCTTTCAGCGTCAATAAATTCCTTTTACACTTTGAGCAGTTTCAAAGCGAATTTAGAAGGTGAGTGTGCCTAGCCTCCTGTCTAGACACAATTTCAGTCTGCAGACGGAGCTGGGCCTGTCTGGGATTCTCACATGAGCCCACCTGGGCCCATCTGCTGCCATTGTAAATCTCCAAGGAGCTGAGCTCCTCTGCTCAAGGGAGGGTTTGCAAGTCTCCGCGGCTGCCAGCTGTTCAAAATGGCCCCAGCCAGGCTTGGAAAGTGCTGAATCCGTAAAAACTGGGTGCCTTTAGAAGAGACAGAGAGAAATGTGAATTTTAAAACACAGCACAACTCTGCCACAAAACAAGGCTGAATATAATGTTAATTCCACGGATAAACAGCTTCTGGCAGTGCTTGACTGAGTATCTTGTTCCCATTTCAGTGCCGCACTCTGCCACACATTGCCCTCGATTAAAACATTCTTCCAAGGCTGGGGTGAAACGCAAAATGAGAAAGCTGCAAGGGTTGCAACACCATATCCAACTTGCAGGAACAGAGAAATCTCCGAAAGTATTCTACATGGGGCTGTACATTCCCAGGAATAGTTGCCATGATGGGCATCCCAGTATAAGCAAGCTGTGTCCCATGAAATCCTGCATAGTCAGAGATACTTTTTAACAGAAATGTGGGGGAGAACTGCAGGGGGAGGGTCAGCTCATTCCCCGTTCCTTAGGTGCATTGCTGTGATTTAAGAGATGACGGTGAATGTCATTCTCTGAGTTTCCCAGTCTGGCAATTCCAGACTCTGTCTCTCGTCGTATCTTTCTTTGCACAAAATGCCCTCACAGATCAGTCAATCACTCAACCTGTAAGCATGCATTGAGAACCTCCCGTACATCAGGGGCTGACTGCGTCCTATTTTAGATAGTGACATGGTCTCCTGTGTGCCTTTAGGGCAAGGACCAAGGATTACTCATCTTTGTATATTCTGTAAGCTATTAAATACATGTTCGCTCAATGAGTCACAGAGAAAGCACTCTGTTTTCCTTCCCTTCTGTTCTGTCTCAGAGACAGAAGATCTTGTCTGGTCCTACGTGAACATTAGAAGGTGAAGAAGTTGGCCTGGGCGCTTTCCACCCCGCAGGCAGAAAGAACAAAGGGCGCTGGCTCTGGAGGTGCTCTCCATCATGCTGAAAACTGTGTCCAATCTCATTGTGGGAAGCAGCAGGTAGCTGTGAAAGGCGGCTCAGGCCCCCATTGTTACCACCGTGGCTAAAGGTGAAAGGCCAGTTCGCAGGCAAGGCTCTGACCCTTCACTTTTTTGTTGAGAGTGTCACAAGGTAAATTAATCAGATTTATGTCATTAAGCTCTGCCAATATCTTTATCCTCTCAGCTTTTTCTCTCCAGCAAAACTCTCTTTCCTAGGGGGGGAAAGTTTCCTTTCCAATGAAAGGGGGAAAGTGCTTTTTGTGTTTCTCTCTCAGTTTTCACTTTAAAAGTGAAAATGGCTTGGCACCTATAGAGGCCAGCACAGCCCTTCCTTCGAACAGGGCTCTGGTAAGTTAAAGTGAACTTTCCTGGCACTGCCTCACATGCCCCACGCTCATGGGGACAATGCGGTGAGCAGGCTTGGCTGGCACTGATGGCTTCGTGATTTCCTCTCCTTTGACTAGAGCAACTCAGGAAAGCTTATTAGGGAGATGTCGCCAGCCTGGACGTGGGCTTAGGTCTCCTCCATGCCCAGTCCGGGGCGGTACTGGTACCAGAGCAATAGTTCAGAGGGGCGGGTAGGCTAGACATAAATGAGCAGAAAGTCCTCCAGTCCCAAAGCCGGGGGCTTGGAGCCGGCTCCCAGCGGGAGCAGGAGGGAGGTTGCCCATGTTGCAGGTGCTTTTCAGGCAGCCTCGCAGGAGAGCACCAACTTCCTGCTGCTAGAAATTTGTCTGCAAATTTTTTCTCATTCAGAAGTGACGGCATCCAGGAGACCCTGGCCAGATATGATAACTTGATTAAAGCCTGCACAGGCGACCCAGATGCCCGAGAAGTGGCTGAGAGGGAGCATGCCTCCCTCTAACGTTCCACCAGGAGAGAGCTGACAGGTTGCTGTGCATAGATTTCCTCACCCTAGGCTGTAGGGTGTCCACATTTTGGATTCACAGCCCTCTAAGTAATGCAGCTGTGTTTTGAATACAGCTTCTCTGCAGAGAAAGGAAAGTAACACGGGATCAGTTTCCCACACCAAATTGCAGCACAAAGATTGGATCACTACAAATATTTACTGAGCACCCACTATACACTAAACCCTGTTTTAGGCACTGGAGATACCAGAGATACGGCAGGGAATACTTCAAGCAAAGTCTCTGCCATCACAGAGCTTAGAATCTAGCTTGGGGACACTGACGGTAAATAAATATACAAAAGCACAATATGCCAGGGGTTTGCAATGCTGTAAAAAAATAAATAAATAAAACAGGGGTAGAGGATAGAGAAAATGGTGGGGTAGACAGGATACTCTGAGAACACAGATCAGACAGGAACATCCTCTCTGAAGAAACGATCTGAGGCTAGAGACCCAAATGAAGGCAGCGCATTAGCCCTGCTTTGTTTTTTTTGTTTGTTTGTTTGTTTTGTTTTTTGAGATGGAATCTTGTTCTGTCGCCCAGGCTGGAGTGCAGTGGTGCGATCTCAGCTCACTGCAAGCTCTGCCTCCCAGGTTCACGCCATTCTCTTGCCTCAGCCTCCCAAGTAGCTGGGACTACAGGTGCCGCCACCAAGCCCTACTGATTTTTTGTATTTTTAGTAGAGACAAGGTTTCACCGTGTTAGCCAGGATGGTCTCGATCTCCTGACCTCATGATCTGCCCACCTCAGCCTGCCAAAGTGCTGGGATCACAGGCGTGAGCCACCATGACTGACTTTAGCCCTGTTGATACCTGGGTGGAGAATCCCTAAAAGAGGACTTAGCAAGTGTGAGGCCCCAAGCAGGAAGCATGCTCGATATGTTCAAGAAGTATTCCTTTACAATTATATTTCACTTATGAATGCCCAGAAAAAACCCCATCTAATGATCACAATAATAGCCGCAAAACTTTTGTGCCATACTGTTATGAGGTTTCAATGAATTAATGTTCTTAAGACACGTAGCACAGTGACTTTGGAATAGTAAGAATTTAATAAGTGCTGAGGCTTTTATAATTATGATAATTATTATTGTTTGCTAAGCATTTGACAGTCACAATAATACTACAAAGTAGGAGGTCAAGAACTATCAGCTTCATCTTGAAAATGAAGAATCTAAAGTCCACAGAAGTGACTTGCCCAAGGTCACACTGCAGGTTAGTGGCAGATGGAAGCAGGCTGGGTCCCTAGGGCTGCATGCAGTCACCAGGACAGCTGCTGACCTGCACTGGACTTTGTCTAAGCAAGAGATTAACTTTTATTATATCAAGCCACTGAGATTTGGGGGTTATTTGTTACAGCAGCTGACCATTACTTAACCTAAGTAACAGAATGAACTGGCTCTAGGATGACTGTAAGAGGGTCTGAGCCCCTCAAATAGCAGGGCTCATAGCTTTTGGAGGGCAGAATGCCAGACCTTTTCCCCCAGTTACACTGACCCCTAAATATGTGTGCATTTTTCCAGCACCACTTTGTTTCTACCAGTCCCTCTGCCTGGGTCATTCTCCATCTACTTCCCTAACAAAACCCTATGTAATGTATCCTTCAAGGCACTCTTTGAAAGCCACCTCTTCCAGGAAGCCTTCTCCATCAGCTGTCATAAGACAGCATTTCTTGCCCCGAACTTTCACAGAAGATTTCTGTTTTCTGGGTACCACATTTTGCCTTCTGCCCCAGTTGAATATGGGCATAGCTAACTCCTACATGAGACCACATGCTTCCTGAGGCCAGGCCTCTGACCTCTTTGCTCTCAAAACAGGCCAGAGGCAGAATTCCATTTGAAAAGAGATGAAATAAAACAATTTCTTTTTTTTTTTTTAAACATTAATTCTAAATGCTAGGGCAAATAATCAGAGAACGTTCTCCTTGGAACATGTTGGCATTACCTTTCACAAACATTTGCACCCTCATGCAGGCATGTCTCCCCCCGGCCCCTCATCTCCATGGCACAATGACTGTGATGATGTATTTTGCTGTTGCCTTTATGTTGATGTTCAAACTCCTCTTCTCATCTTACCCTCACCAATTATTGAATGCCTTAAAAAAACAATGAAACAAAACCCAAACCTTGCCCCAGCAGATGTGCGTGAGCTGTTTGATCTTGAAGCTGAATAGGAAGCAAAGTATCCAAGACTCAGATTATGGTGCAGAAGAGGGGAAAAAAATCTTAACAGGAACTCTGTGAAGGAGAGAGTTTAGCTTTGATCTTACTATTGAATTTTGCTAGGGGAACGTGTGTTTATATCTATTTCTATTTATCTTTTTTAGCTCCATAATTCTGTGCTGCTGTGTCTGTCTCTTGTAGCACTACAGAAGGGAGTTTTGTCTGGTTTTGTGCAATGCGACTTAAGTCGTTTAAAATAAGAATTTAATTTCTCTGTGAAATAAGGAGAAGACTATAGGTTAATTTATGGATATCTTTTCCTTTAAAGGATTCTAAAATAATTGGGGCCACTTTATCTCAAACCGAATGGAAAAGAGCCCTATTAAAAAGCAGAGAGGCCATGCTTCCCGGTGAGGAGGTCTGACTTTATCGTTTAATTCCTAATTTGCACATCTTCCTCACTAAAGAAAACCCAGACCTTAGAAAGTAATCTGACCTTTGCAATTTAGAAGGAGAGAATTAAAGAGCATTTGTTTACAGTTAAATTCTATTTCAAAGTTTCACCTGAGTGGGATCTCTTTCTAAAAATAGTTAGATAATTTTAAAAGTTAATTTGAGAAATGTACAAAGGCACCTTCCCCTGATATTCTGATAATATAACATAACATAATATAATATAATATAATATAATATAATATAATATAATGACAAAGGAGTGATCAATGGACAGGTTATAGTTGTTCATGCAACTTGTGAAATTGTGGATTTTCCATGAATTTCACTGTGAAATGGAGACATCCATCACAATCTTGCTGTTGACTTTCACTTTGATATGAGGATTTCTGAAATTTTTTTATAACCTTTCTTTCCTTGCATGCATTCTTCAGTTAATTTATCCATTTAATCATCAATATTTGTTATATTTACAATGTGCCAGGCACTTCACTTACACACTTACAATCTGCACCAAGCATTTAAAAACAGATGTTATCTGTACTCCCAAAGACATAAGCCAGCAAGAGTTCCTAAATTAGGTACTCACAATTCCCTATACAGCTGTTTTCAGAATTCGTATTATTTAGCATTTTCCGAGGTATCTCTTCAGCACTAGCCAAATATAAAGCACAATGCTAAGCATGGGCACGAGCAAGGAGATAAATCATGCACCAACTGTGCTTTCTAAGTAGCTTGGACTGGTAAAAGGCACACCAAGTCCTGCTAGGGAGCAGATGTATGAGGGTAGGTGGAGTGGCAGGGATGCTACACAGAAGAGGGATTCCTTGGGCATAGGCTGAGGCAGGAACTTGCCAGCTTCTACATATCAAATTGGAATGTCAGGGTTCTGGTGTGGAAGGAGATGTTTTTAAAATGCTGTCTAAGGGGCATGATAGTTGTTGGGGTATCCTGCTGGGGCCAAAGCCAATTAAGAGTTAAGCTCCCAAGGGCAACTCTTGCCTAGAACTTACTTAGACTGTCAGCCTTTAGTCTGTGGGTCGCAACCTTCTTAAGGGTTCAAGAGAGACCATCTCAATTCCCCGCCAGATGGAAGCCCCACTGGAGGGAACAGGGTTTTCAAAGATGGTGCCCTCATTCCACCCCCGAAGGACTTACCAAAGCCTTGGGCCTGTTCTTGCTCTCTGTTACCCACCCCCACCTTACTCATAGAATGATATCAGAACTTCATGCTGTACTGGCCTCAGGGGATAAAAGCATCAGAGCAGGTGAAATGCAGGACCTTGGCCTTCTGATTTAAATCAGCCTAGTGTAGCTGTTGGGTCGGTGGCTCTCACAGACCCCGTTCTCACTTCACTGCATTGGAGTCAGTGTCAATGCTAAGGTATTGGCCCTGTGTTATCTGGTATTGAAACTGTTCATGATTTCTCTTAGGGAAGTGTCAGATTTTCATGGTGTTTTATGCCACTATAAGCCAAAGTATTTTAGATATATAACTTTTGATAGGCTATTTATGTTGATAGGCTAATTTATTTTGGTTAGCTACAAATAAATTAAAATATAAAATAACTATATATGTTTTATATCTCTAACCATACATATCTC